CAGTATGATTTTCCAAACACTGCTGGCATTGCCATGTGCTGGCAGTGCCTAGCACAGCTGGTTTAGCAGCTGCCTAGCCTTTTGTAGGGCTGAATCCCAGTGTGAACCTGTTTTTCTTTTGTGGTTGTTACAAACAGGAGTTCATTTTGGTGAAGTTAAATTGTTCCTGACATCTTTGCAGAACCCAGATGTCCAGATTAGCCACATCCTGTCACTGCCGCTGTTGGAGCTGGTGGAGAAACTGAGGGAAGGTTCCCTGTCTCCAGAGAGCGTCCTCTACTCCTACATAGAGAAGGTGAGGGACCAGCCCTGCCAGGTGGGACAGGCAGCAGACAAACCCCCAGTCTAAAGAGACTCCTTTCCTGACTGTAGGACAAATAAGTCTATCATCTCCTTGCGTTTTTCTTTGTCACCTGTCCAGCAGAAATGGCCCTGGTTCCTTTGTTCTGCCTGTGCAGAGGACCGGTACTCTGGTACAGGGACAGATCCTGCCTTACTGTGTGCCTGCAGGGCACCTCACCTGCCTTCCACAGCAGCAGGAGCACCAGACTGGAAAGAGCCAAGAAGGAAATCCAGTTCAGGTCCCCAAAGGGGCATTAACTATCACAAGTGCCAGGCTCAAGATAGATGGTGATATGTTTAAAATCTCTTTTGTGAGAAAAAATCCTGCTTTCTTTCAAGACTGAATGAACCTCGGGTATCAATTAGGAAGGTTGTCAGCTGGGGGCTCGTGGGCCAGATACAGTCCATCAGATGAAGTGCTCAGCTCCTGAAGATCCTTCAAAGGGAACTTCAAAGGGAAACTGCAGGATGGAGCACTTTTTAGGTCAAATAGAGACTCTCCTAGAAGATAGTGATGGTTTGTCTCTTCTTGCTAACACATAACCTTAAAGAGTAAGGTGAAGACAGTGGCCTACATGGACTAGAGAGGTGACTGGCCTTTCTCTTCTGTTCTGTGCTTCCATGCTAAGGCCTTAGAAGTCAACCAGGAGGTGAACTGCGTGACAGCGTTTATTCCTAGCTGCCTGCACCATATCCAGGAAATGAGAAACCAGAAGAAAGGGTTGCTCTACGGTGTTCCCATCAGCATTAAGGATCATGTGGTTTGCAAGGTGTTTCCCCTTGTCCCCTTATTTGGGAACCTTAGTATGCGGAGCTAAGAGCCAGTGAGCCATCAGGGCTGGGCAGAAGTGCACATGCCATGTCATGAAGAAGCCTGATTTATTACGGCCTTTTTCCTGTGTCTGCTCACCACTGCATCCTGCTGGTTAGAAATAAATGCCATAAACCCTAAACTGCTGCCTCCCTAAGGCAATTCCCTCCAGCTCCAGCTGTAGGCAAGGCACTGAACCACAACACTGATTCCTCAGCTCCCAACCCTGGTTGCCTCTTCAGGAGGCAAATTTTTCTCCCTGGATTGAAGCTGCTTGCACTGATTTCAGTGGCTGCCTCACCATGGTACCTGTTTCCAGGAATCGTGTCTTTTGCGGGACTCTGTGGCTACTGACTTTCAAACCCCGTTCCTCCAAATGGTCCCACTTCAAAAACCTGGTCTGTCAAGCATCTTCTGATGGGACTGGGTAGGAGCAGAAAGGTGAAGGGCTCAGAGCCATTACAGCAACAGGATAGCTGGAGGTGTGAGGAGTGAGCAAAGCCTGCTCTGGGTGAGGGGAAAGGGACCTGAAGTCAGATCTCCAGAAGGGGAAAAGCCCAATGGGGGAAGGAGAGAGGACTGACATGCAAAAGTGTGGGGTAGGGGAGGGCGTCATAGAGTTTAGAGTCACTTGAGCCTGGGGTTGGGAAGAAGGGAAAAAAGGTCTATTTGCATCTAACTGCAGCTACGCATTGGTGCTAAAACTTCCCTAGAGTGTCAAACTCTTTTTGGGGAAGAGCCTCAGGCTGGGGACATGGTTTCATTTTCTCCCCTCAAGTTGGACCTGCAAGCTTGCTCATTAGCAGCAGTGCTGTATCCCCACTTGATATCTTTAATGAGTTCTGTGTCTGCCCTCTGGGTTCAAGGGCTATGGCTGCATCTGTGGATCAGGACAGAAGCTCAGCCTCCTAGAGCAAGAGGAGAGCGTGCTGGTGAGAGTGCTGAGGAGCCAAGGAGCCATCCCCTTTGTGAAAACCAACACGGCACAATGCGTGATCAAGTAATTGGTGGGACCTCCTCCCCTAATGGTGGCCCTGTTTTGTATCAAGCTTAGCCCTGTGCACTGGGACATGGTCTTGGGGGTCGGTAGAAAATGCCCCCTGACTCCCTGAGGCACTGCTGAGACCTTTGCTTCAGGAAGCTTGGAGACAGGCAATGGGGGAGAGTGCGATTCAGTAGCTGCTCTGCCATACACCAAGCACTGATTTCTCTATAAAGTTTCACAGATCAGGCAGCTTAGACTCTGACCCCTTGCTTGAATTTGAAGCCACCTCAGGGCCTTCCTCTTGGCACTACCATGGTTCAAGCTGCACCCATTTCTGCCCCTTATACTTCTCTGTTTGGCCACCCTGCAGCCACCGATGCTCCATCATATGGATGCAGCCAAGCTGAGGACAGTAGCAAATGCCCGGCCTCTTCCCTCCCTCTGTTCTCCACTCGTGAGGTCTGTGGTCCCTCAGGGTTTTGTTTTCCCCTGTGCTTGCACTGCTGTTGGAAGAAGAGCCGAGATTCATCGTCAGCAGGCTTGTATTGGCCAAGTTGTCCATATTGTCCACCTCTGAGTTACTCAAGTCATTCTCAGCCAATTGAACTTACCCACTGAGCTCCCCCATCCTCCACCGCAGGGATGATGAGCGAGTTCCTAGGGACTGACTTTTCCCTTTTGATCTCCCCCAGCTACGACTGCAGCAATGCTATCTACGGCCAGACGCTGAACCCTCTCAACCGCAAGAAGAGCCCTGGAGGTTGCTCTGGAGGGGAGGGAGCGCTCATTGCAGGGGGAGGCTCCATCCTGGGCTTTGGGTTGGATGTTGGTGGCAGCATCCGCCTGCTGTCCAGCTTCTGCGGACTGTGCGGTCTCAAACCCACGAGCGACAGACTGAGGTAGGTGCTGGAATCTGCCCTGCTTGCCCTGCTGAAAGCCTGTGTTTCCTGACCAACATTTGCAGACTAGCAAAACTGAATTCCCGGCCAGCCCCTTGCAGGGCAAGGCTGAAGTGCTTAGCATGCTCTTCCCACTTCAGGAAGAGATACCCTGAAGAGACTTTGTCTCAAGAGCTGCAGATGGGATGGATGCAGTCTAGCCTTGTCCTCCAAAGCCAGGCAAAGGGCTAGGAGAAATCACCTGGCTTAACCAACCCAGAAAAGCTGACATTTAGTCTGGAAGGGACTACCAAATGTCCAGCCCACCTGTCTTGTCATCCACAGAGAAACTTTATATCCTTTAGGAGGCAAGCCAAAAAGCAACCCAGTGGCCAGAGAAGGGAGAACAAGAGCAACTATGGGTGTTGCCAGTGTCCGAGGGACCTGTAGCAGCTAGGGCTCCTAGTGGCAGCCCTGCCCACAGTACTTTCTTTCTGATCTCAAACCTTGGGCAACTTCCCCAGGGGCAGGCTTTCACCTCTGTCCCACCCTCTGTCCCTGAGTCCCAGGTACTGCTGTCGTTTGTGTTTAAAAATGTTTCTTTGTCTTCCATAGTTACTTGGGAGTTAGTGGTCCAGCGCACTGCCTTCAAACAGGTGAGTCGGGTTCTGGGTATGGAGAGCTCAAAAGCAAGGAAGACACTTGTTATTGGTGCTGATAAAAAAACTCCCTCAGAGAACAAGAGTGGCCCTATACAAGAGTGGCTCATCTTGGTCAGGTCTAGGCTTGGTGCCTAGAGCCACCAAGTTCTCTGGCTGCCTGCTCTTCATTTCAGTCAATGGGAGTCAGATCCTGTGGGTGTTTAAGGGTTAATAATTAAGGTCTTTGGGGCAGGAATTAGCACTCATAGCACTGAGAATTACACCCTTATAGCAACATTTTTATGCCTCCCTCTGTTAGATGTACTCTGCAAGCTGATTTTTTCTGCCTTCCCATGTATTTTTACGGTCTCCATTTAGTCAATGACAAGCAGCATTTTGCCTGCGATGGGACAGCTCTTCCCACCAGCGTTGCTTCTGTTCTTTGCTCATGTCTGGGGCAAGGGAGGAGGAAGCACCTTTCCCTCCCTGCTTATTGCAGAGGAGATAATGGAGATCCAAAGGGCCAAAGGCACAGAGCATGTCGATCTATTGGCAATGTCAGTTTTGTCACAGTGGGTATGGAAAGCCCCTTCTCAGCCCCGACCAGAAAGTGCCTTGATCACCAATAGGTAAACACACATATGCAAAAAATGATGTTACCAGAGGCCATATAAAGTGAACCTGTGGGCTAGATCTCATGGATCTTTCCTATCTATGTTTGGTAGCTGCATAATAAAAAGTCTTTGAGGGTCATGGGAGGTGGGAAGGATAGAAAGAAAGAAGAACCATATTGTGTGGTAGCAGCACATCCACCCTTGACACATCTTATGACCATTACCAGCTTAGCTGAGGAACAGGTATTTGGCCTAGAGGTTGTGCATATTTTTCTCTGTGGCAGCTGCAGGTGTGATGGGGCCCATAGCAAGAGACGTGGACAGTCTGGCCTTGTGCATGAGAGCCCTTTTGTGTGAAGACATGTTTCGCTTGGACCCCACCGTGCCACCCATCCCCTTCAACATGGAGGTAGTTCATTTAAGAGTGGTAGGTCAACACATGGAAGTAATGCTCGTTAGGTTGCTACCTGAGCCAAAATACATGGCACCATGCACTGAGCTCTCTGCAGCTATCCTGGGGCTTAACTTCTTGAAGACTGAGATAGACCACAAGAGTTGAGGACAGAAGACAGTAGGAAGGATGGAAGAGAAGATAATGTAGAAGAGCCTCTGCATGGAGTTTGCACCTTGGGCTTCTCTCCAGCCTGTCTACAGCTCCTTGTCCTTGTCTTCACAGGTGTTTAGCAGCCCCACTCCCCTTCGGATTGGCTTCTATTCCCTGGATGACTACTTCTTGCTCCCACCCTGTGTGACTCGGGCTGTCCATGAGACCCGCCTGCTGCTCGAGGAGGCTGGACACACGGTAGGTTAGCTAGGTGGGCCCCTTGGGTGTGTGTGAATGTGTATGTGCATTTCTGTCTACTTTTTCCTTCTCTTATTGAACTCCTTAGCCAATTTTAGCCCACTTTGACAGAGACACTGAGGTCTCCAAGGTAAGGAGGTCTCAAAGGGTCATGGATATAGACTATCAAGGCGAGGGGGGAAGTTCCCATTACGACACCCCAAGAGAGAAGGGCGATGGGTATACTCAGCCTTTTATTAGACACCAGAAAACCCACACCCCAGAGATAGGAAATCAGCTCTTATGAGCTCTGCTTACTGACTTCCTGTCTTCTTCCTCTCCCAGATGATCCCCTTCGTCCCTCCCAGTGTTGAATATGCAATGAACAGCCTGTTTGTGAAGGGGCTCTTTGCTGACAGTGGCTGTGCTTCTTCAGACACGCGGTATGGTTGAAGCATCCCATCCCCACCTCTGTACCCAGGACAAGTGAGGAAAGAGGGCCGGGTGACTGTGGGAAGAAGGGCTGGCTCCCAATATTGCAGGCTGCAGCACATCTGATGCACTAAGACATCAACAGTAACAACATCTGCTCCTCGCCTTGCCTCTTTGGGCCTAATTCAAATGTCTAAGGGAAGCTTTACCCAGATGAAATGTCCCACTCCCCGGCTCAGTGTAGACAGGTAGATCACTACTGTGGCTTGAGCGGAGACAGACAATTAGTTTCCTCCCTGTTTAACTGCCTCCCATGCTTACCCATAAGCTGTTTGGTGACACTGAAGTCCCAGAGCACGGATGGCATCATGGAGGGCTCTGCTGGGTGGGAGCAGAGCTCTGCCTCAGTTTTCTGCTTTGCAGCACTCAGGGTGGCCAGGAGATGGCAGGACTCTCCCAGGAGGAGGCTTTTCTTGGTGACAGGGTTTCTGACCATGCATTGGTGTCAAAAAATCAGAGACTGAGACCTGGTTCATAGTCAGCAATGGGACTTACTCCTGCCCACCTCCCCCTCGTCTTTCTCTCCAAGCAAACTGGACTCTCTGGAGCCGGGCTGCAGCCACCCTGTCTGCTGTGATGAACTCCCAGCTGTGCTAAAGAAGATCCTGGCTTGTCTCACAAAGCTTCTGGTGAGTGCCCTGGCTTTTACCACATCCTGGCCAGGTGCAGAGGGGCTGCTCAGGTGCTGCATATTTCCCAAAAGGAGGAGATGGTGCTGGGTCCATCCCAGGGCTCCTGAGTCACTCTGAGGCGCACAACAGCATCAACAAAAGGAGAACCCGGATGCCAGAGCTTTCTGGTTTGAGCCAGCTGTGTCGGCACTGCAAGGATGCAGGGGTGGTGGTGGTGGGCTTGGACTGGAGTGGCCCCATACCCAAGTGAAAGGTTGGTCCAAGGTGGAACAATAACCAAAATGAAGGCAGTGTAGACCCAAAGGCAAGCTCGAACCCTGTGGTAACCTGGCAGTGTGAACTCTGCTTTGTAGCCCGTGGTCCAGGGTCAGACAGAAACTGTGCGGCACAGCTCAGGCCCTCTGAAAGCCCATTGACTCCCCAGCCGTGAGACAGTGCCTGCTCTCTCCCCGCTCACTTCCAAACATCAGCTCTGAAAGAAGGGCTAGGATTAAGCTATTCTAGGGGTAGTAGGAGCCTGTGGTAGGAGTTGAATGGTCAACATGAGGCTCAGATTTGTCTGAGAGGCCAAAGCAAACGTCTTTCTGGTTATTGCCAACAGCAGCCTTCCAACTGGGACAGGAATTTTAGCTAGTAGTTAGAGCTGGTGCGTGTGAACTAAGGTTGCTGCGTCCTCAACTCTGCCACTGGCTTCACTATGGCCCTTGGTTAAGGCAGATCATTGCTCCATGCCTCAGCTCTCAGGCCGCAAAACACAAACCCATTTCAACATCCTGGTTGTGACGTGCAGAGCAGTAGCAAAGGCAGTGGGAGAGGCAGCGCTCCCAGGAGCCAAAGAGGCTACAGAACAGCATGGGCAGTCCAGCCTTGGTGTGCTGGTGGCTGCAATTGGAGAGGGTGCACAGGGGCTGAGGACACCAGCGGAAGGGGGTTGGCATGTGGCGTGGGAGGGGACCTAGGGGGTCAAGCCCACTTATTCCAGAACAAAACCACAGCTCTGTTGCAGCCACCACAGCGATCCCCACCTTGTCCTGACAACCGCTGTTCGTTCTTTTGCAGTTCCCATGTTTCACCAGCTGTCTGGACATGCCGTGTGGAGTGCGGTAAGAGCCTTTTCAGGGGTCAGACCCCGGAGTGGGGGCAGGTTGCTGCATAAGGGGGCTTTGCAGCGTACCATGGAGCAGAAGAGCCTGATACAAGTCCTAGTTGGTCCCTCTGCTTGGAAATGACTGCTCCAATGGGTGGATTAGCCAGATGGCAACTGCACGAGTAGCAGACATGAGAGCGATCATAAGATTGGGGCTTCCTTTCCCTGCTAGCAGGAAACACAGCCCCAGAAATTGTTCTTGTAACCATTATATGGCTACAGAGCCACAATAAATGTGTAGCGACAAGTTTTCAGCTGGGCTTGTTCTGTAGTGTGAGTATCAGGTTAAGGAGAGCTTTGCTGCAGCATGTCTCAGGGTACCTGTTTATGTGTGGGGCTAGTGGCATTACTGCATGGCACACGCTTTGACTCTTCCCCCAGGGAGGCATGGTATGGAGCAGCCCCTGCCCGGCCACATGCCCGCTCAGTGACCAACACAGTTTTCTTGTGTTTGGCTCATTGCAGGTCGTCGAAGGAATTTGCAGACCTCCACACTGCCATAATGGTAACGTGGCTCCTTGAACATGATGAATACCATCCCTGCTCCTGAGTGAGGTTGTCTTGCCACTGGTGTGACAGCTGTTTGACATAGGTCCTCAGGCTGCTGCGTGACATCCACAGATAAAATCCAGATCCCTGATTTCTGTGATGTCTCCATCCATGCAGGAAGCAGTGTGCTGTGAAACCCAGATAGCTCCATGCTTCTTGCAAAAAATGCAAAATTGAATTTTGCTGCTCCATAGGGGACAGTTTTACTGTTACAGCCGTGGGAAGGAAAAGATTCCCCAGAAGCCAGCTTTATAATGTAGTATGTGTCTTTGTTAGCATCAAAGATTGCATCTTCAGTGGAAAACAGCCAAACCCTTTCAGAGAAGTGGGAATTACTGGTGACTGCACCCAAACATGTCCCTTTTTCCTGGTGCTTGCAGTCTTCTCATGGTGTTCACCTGTTTGCTTTCAGCAAACACCGTAAGGTTTCAGTCACTACCCCTGGTCTGTGCCGCTCCAATATTGCTCGCAGACAGCTGTAAGTAACAGGTTACAAATGGGTGCAGCATACAGCAGTGCTGTCAGGGGCTGAGCATGAGAAATCACTGGAGTAGGGAAGATCTTTTTTCTAGTTAATGCTGAGGTGAAAGTGAATTTGACTCAAGAACACTTGACTGAGGTCATCCCAGGCATAAAAGACATGTCCATACCGATTGCTAACGTGCTGCAGAGAGACATAGGATCGTATAGACAGGGGATAGACTCCTGAGCCCTCCTGGGACTGAGCGCTGTGGTGGGGCCGGTCTGCACTTCTCTGCACGCCTCTCATCGCCTGTGGAGCTGGCAAAGCACCCTGAGCTCCTGAGAGAGGAGGAGGCTAGTGCATCCTGGAATGCATAACAACCTCTTGGCTCTCTCTGGCAAGGTTTATCGCTGGGAATTCATCACCCGATGGAAGAATCTTGACCTGGATGTTGTGCTGTGCCCTGTGCTGGGACCGGCCTTCACTTTGGGCTACTTGGAGACAAACCTTGGTAAGCCTCAAAGAGCGGATGACGCAGGGACAGGCTCAAGTGGAAATCCATCAAACCTCTTTGGAGGTAGAGAAATCCAAAAAATTCCTTGTGGAAGTCCTAGCTTTGTTTCCATGTACCTCAAGCCCTCCCCTCTCATCCTGCCTGTAGGGTTAGAGAAAGTCTCAAGGGGTGACGTTAAGGTAAAGTGAAAGCTGGGATGGGCACAGCCTGAAGATTCTGAACACCAAAAATATATCAGCTACTGGGAAGGTTTCAGGATGGGGGACTGACGTGATAAATTAGCTGGTTCAGCTGCCCTCCTCTGCCTACGGTTAATAGCAGTCAGCATAAGCTCCCTGTTGGGAAGTGCTCCTGGCTCTGCTTCTACTTGTGTGGTTTGGGTGCTTGCATTTGAAGCAGGAGGATGCAAGTCCATCTCAGGCCTTACACGTGCCCCTGGGATCTCTCACTCCTTCCCCCCATCTTCCCCAGCCACTCTGTCCTCCACCATGTTGTACAACATCCTCAACTTCCCTGCGGGAGTCGTACCTGTCACTGTGGTCACAGAGGCAGATGAAGAACAGCTGCAGCTTTACAGTGGGTACTTGGATGAGCCATGGGACAAGAAGCTGAGGAAGGTGAGGAAGACAGGTCCTTTTCGGGGCTTGGGTAGCCTGGGGTGATCTCGTTGCTCCAGAGCCTGCTTCAGCACATCATAGTAATCCCACAGTGGGCTGTGGGGTCACACAGGCTTTGTGACAACCTCGGCTGCTGTCATGCAGCCCCAAACCTGGCACTATTTAAGGATATGGGGTCTTTGCTCTTACACTTGCCTTCCTTTGCTGAAGTGTTATTGCTAAGGCTTGGCCAGTCTGTCTTTGGCATATTATAGCCTGATCCCGTTGAGCTGATTTGGTGGCATAGTCCAAACGCTTTCAGCTAGAGCCTTGACTAGTATCTCCTGGCAAGTGTTTGCTGCTGGTGACACTATTATTTGCTGGATATGGGACCACTTGGGGACTGGTCTGGCTGCTGGTGAAGAAGCCACTTCTACCCGCCTCTAGAAGAAGTGGCCCTGAATTTCTCTCTTCCTGGAGACCCTGGGTCAGGACAGAGCTCCTGTGTGTGGCTTCTGCTCTGTGGTGTTTTTTGTTAAGGTCCTGGAGACCCTTCTTCCACTGGAGCTTGGAGCTGTATTTGATCTTCAGCCTTTGAGCATCTCCTGTCATACTTCTGTGCTCTCCGTCTGTTTTAGGCTGTGGAAGGTGCTGTGGGGCTGCCTGTGGCCGTCCAGTGTGTGGCTTTACCATGGCAGGAGGAGCTGTGCCTTCGGTTCATGAAAGAGGTTGAAAGACTGACCTGTGAGAAGAAACGGAGAACTGATGCATCTGGGGCTGACGCAGCCCAGAGAGATGGACCAAGTCAGGTCCCACTGGGAGCAGCCTCCTTGGATCAGCAATCCCAAAAGCCAAGTAGCATGTTTCTGGATTTGTCCAGCGTAATCAGCAAGACAGAGGAGCACCCAACATTGCAAAGAACGACCTTACAAATCACCCTTGCAGAGGACCTGCGGGACGACCTGCAAACAGCTGCTCTCCAGCCAGACATGCAGAGTGACGTGCAAGTGTCATCCCAGCCTGATGTGGAAACACTGATGCCCTGGTCAGATGAGCAGAGTGAAGTGCCAATGCTGATTCCACCCCCTGACATGAAAAGAGACCTGCAGCCTGGTGAGCCAGAGCCTGATGTGCAAACACAGGCATCTCAGAAGGATGAAGAAAGGGACCCACAGCCCCATGCACCGGAGCCTGATGTGCAAACAGAAGCATCCCAGAAAGATGAAGAGAGAGACCCACTCCCCCTTGTACCCGAGCTTGATGTGCAAACAGAGGCATCCCAGAGAGATGAAGAGAGGAACGCACAGCCCCTTGCACCTGAGCCTCATGTGCAAACACAGGCAACTGAAGGTGACATGTCAAGCAAGGAGCAAAGCCAGCCGATCTCCCGAGTTAAGCTCACTGCTGTGTGACATGCAAATCTCCACTTTCTCCTCTATGGAAATAAAACCTGGAATATAACTCCACTGCTGTGCTGACCCTCCTTGTCACTATTCAGTTCCTGTGCCTGTGAAAAGTGCCAGGGATCCTTTAGCAACACCTGAACCTCTCAAAATATCTTTGAGAGGAGACGTTCCCCCTCATTTGGCTTGCTAAGTTATGGGTCTTGTTGGCTAGGAGAGCTTTTGGGGGCATGGGATTTTATAAGTGTTTTTACCCTTAGCTGGCTGCTCCATATGTAACATGGAGCAGCTATTGCATGGTGGCTTGATGGGGCGTCAGGAAGTGTTGGGCAGGTCATAGCAGTGAGGTCTCCAGGATGGTGGGACCCTTTGGGATGTTCCTAAGATTGCTTGAGGCTTCTTAAGCAAGTACTGCACCTTGCAAACACGAGGGGCAGGGGGCTGGCTCTGAAAACCTCCTCCTTTCTTTACAGATAGAGGAGTGGGGACTCCTTTCTAGCAGTGACTGTCACAGAAACCTGAGTCCAAGCAGCTTTGCATTTCATGTGAACATTAAAAAATAAGAAAAAAAAGAGAGCGAGAAAGAAAATTTAAGTGGCTAAAATTACTCCTGTAGTTGTTTTACACAGCTGAATGAAGATAATTGTATTGGCAATTGTGAGTGATTACAGTATTATCTGCCATCAAAAAAGTTATTTTTTTGAACGCTAAAAGAATTAATGATACATAAAACTGTGCTTAGATTGAGTGCATTCATCAGCAGAAATGCCTCATGCTAGCACTGCTACACTGTAATTACTCCAGCCGCTTGGAGAGAGAAAGAGAGCAGGAGATAGGGGCTATTGTGGATGCTGCCAAAGATTTACATACATTTACATCCTGAGCAACTCTAGTGCTCAGGCAGGGGGAGCAGAGTCAGGGCAGCAAAGCTAGAGAGGGAGGACAAGTTTGACCACATCTTTTTCTTTAGTGGTGCATTTCAGAGCAGAGAATAGGGGGTTGCCTCTGGGTTTAAAGCTTTCTGGAGTGAAGCCAGCATGGAGAAGAGGGTGAAATGCTCCTGAGCATTGCACGGTGTGAGCCCAGTCTTCATAGGATGCTGCCTCAGGGTCTGTTGAATCGATTACAACCTTTACTGAGGTCACAAGCAGTGGTGGCCTGGTTCTGGGAGACTGATGGTGGGGGTGGGAACGGCAGAGGTGGTGTCCCCCAGGGACGTCTGCATGAGCCCTGCACTTCGAGTGAGCCCCCTGTATTACCATGTCAGTGGGGCTTGCAATGCACGTATGTCTCAGACGGGAAGAAACCGGGAAGAAATCCTCCCCAGCTTCTTCCACACCCCATGGCTCTTCAGCAAGGAGACACGGTGAGGGGCATGTTTGCAGCCTGGAACAGCCCAGGAAAGGCTGGTGCACTGGGGGCAAGTTAAGTGTGCTGAGCAGCAGAATGCTTCCTGCAATGCAAACTGAAAATGGGGGGCACCCCTCTGGCAAAGATTTGTAGGGGCTTTTAAAGGAATCTGAATGGGTTGCACCCCTTTGTGGAGTTAAAAAAAAAAAAAAAAAGTAGGGCATGCAGACCCTTTCCAGCCCACATGTGAATGCTGGACCAGGCCTGATGTTCATCACACTGCTCTGAGAAGGCAAGACAGCTGCTGGATGTGATTCGGCCTTTCGGATGTGAGCCACCAGAGAGCAGGATTGAGCTACTGGCCTGGCATAAATCTGGTGCTCTGGAGACTTTTTTTACCCTAAAAGCCTGCAGTATGCGCTCGGCTTGCAATGAGCACTGAAGGAAGCAGCAGCCTCTTTTCTGGCTCTTTGGATGATGGGACAGCCCAGTCCACACAGGTATTTGTAGGAAGCAATGCTTTGATTTCAGGTGATTTTAAGTCCTCTTAAAAAATGATGGGAGATTTGCTGTCAGTCCATCCTGGCTTGGCTACTTCTGCTAAGGAGGATGTCTCAGGAGGGTTTGGTCTTAGAAACCGCTGGTGCTCTGAGAGGTCCACGTCCCTGCTGCTGCCAGGATTTGTGCAGGTGCCCAGGGTCATGGCTCAAACCCACAGGTCTGTTGGCTCTCCTGACAGCTTGAGCTCGGCTGCATGCGAAGCTGCCTGTGCTTTTGAACCAGCAAGGGCATCGCTGCCGCTCTCTCTGATTACAAATTGCAGAAGGCAGGGAACAGTAGAAATTATTTGAGTTTAGAGCCACCACAGGCCAAATTTTGAGTTAGCAGGAGCCAAGTTTAATCCTGACAGTCTTCCCACAAAGAAACATTCACCTGTAGCTTGGCATCTAGGTTTAAGTGGGGTCCTGAGCCCTTCAGCAGCTCTGAGCATGTATGGGCTGAACCCAGATCTCCTCGGCCACCGTGGTTTTCCTTGCCTGGAAAAGCGCCTACCCAGCCCAAATTCTTGGGTTTTTTGAGCCTCACTTTCTGAACAGGCCAGGAGAGGGAGACAGCCAGCCAGCCACTGCATAAGCCCGATTTCCAGCCCAGGCAGCTCTCCCTGTTTGCCATGGGATGGGAGCTTATGCACTTACACGTACACCCTGATGGTCCCAGTGCTCCCAGAAGGAAGGTTTGATCTGTCAAACCCCAATTGACATTTAAAAGAGCAGGAGGGACATTGGACAGAGGGAGAAACTGAGGCACGGAGCAGGCGTGTGCCTGGCCAGGAGCTGGTTGCAGGATCTTCCTGGTGGCAGGAGCAGGACCTTCCTTCTTGGAGACCCTCTGGGTGCTACTGCAGATTTTGAACAGTCGCTCTATGTCGACTGACATAAGCCTGCCTGCGCCTGTGTCCAGGGAGGGTCTACTGAGCAGGCTAAGCGGGGGTATTTTAGCATCACCCTGCACTTCACCCTGACAGTTCGGAGACAGCTCACCCCAGGCCCCGAGGAGGGCCGAGGGGTCTGAGCATGCAGAGGTGGTCACGGAGGGGCCCTAGCTGGACTCGGGCCATTTCATCCTCCTGGTGCCACCGGAAACCCACGAAGCATCGAGGTCCTTCTTTAAAACAAACCAGCCAATCGATCGATCGGTCCCTGCTGCCTCCTGCACCTTCCCTCCCCCTCGCATCTCTCCTGGGCCAGCAATGCTGAAGAACTGAGATCACCCCTGCGTTGAAAAGAAATAAATAAATAACCAAATAAAAATGCTGACGTGGAGAAGTCAATCAGCTTTGTGTGGCCTTGTAATATCTCATTTTATCCGTGCCACGCTTTATTAAATTCTCATAAACCTGTCAATGAGGACAGATACCATTTCAGTTTACCCCATTAGTTCTACACAATGACATCGGGGGAGAGGAAGACGGGGAGGTGGGGGGGAGGCACTCGGCATGGAGAAAAGACGAATGAATAAAAAAAAAAAAAAAAGACAAACCCAGAGCCAAACTCGGCTTCATGACAATAATGTAATAACATCGGCGCCCAGGGAAAGTAATTGAATTAAGTGGCTTTTGTTAATGGTTTTAAGATTTAGAAATGTAAATAATAGTTAGGGCTCTTTAATGGGACTCTGGTTTTAGGTAACTGCAGCCCTGAGAATAAGAAATGCTTTGCTGTTTAATATGATGTCAGATAGTTTTGTTACTCCTCCAGTTTCATGCCTGCAAAGCATATTTTGCAATTTTAAAGCCGGGTGTGTTTATCATCTTTCCTTTCTAACTTCAGACGGAGCTTAATTCAGGAGTATTTGCATGAACCCTTCTTAGCCAGTCCCTATCAGTTATTTGCACCGCCAGGAATAAAGTATTATTTCTCCCGAGCTGCTTTAGAGAACTTCCTGACTGAAGGGTTGCTCTGCTCAGAAGCCTCCCGTCTATTTACATGTTCATTAAAGGCAGGCAGGAGCGGGTGCTCTCTCCGGCAAGGCCGGACTCCGCTCCTGGAGTAATGCCCCTGGGAGCAGCGCCGTTACACCCAGCTTAGGCCAGTGGGGATGGAGGATCCAGCCGACAGGTAGGATGAGCTGGGCGATTTAGAAATGACTTTCATGGGAACTCGTTCTGCTTAAAATATTATTGGATTTTCATTTAGGAACCTATCAAAGTGCAAGAATAGAGCCTGAGCTGCCTAACCCACATAGGTCTAAACAAACAGTCCTCCCCCCTGCTCTGGGATCTGACAGCTCGCGGATTGGAGAGGGTCCTTCGTTCAGGCACCGGCTCCAGGAAACCCATGGCACCAGGCAGAATAAGGGGCTGTGCGTTTATTTACCCTGAAGATCTACCTGTTTCAGGGTGAGGGCAGCCGCCAGCCTTTGCACTCCTTGGGCTCTGCCTCTGCCACCATCCCCTTAACTCTGCCCACTGCCGGGTGCGCAGTGGCTGCCCAAGGACCTGCATGTCCATGTTGCTGGGGAGGAGGAGGCAACTGCAGGGACAGGCAGCCCCGTGGCTCTGAGTCTGGGCCAACAGCAGGCAAGCAGGTCTGTGGACACCTCGGTCACACGTGCATCCTCTGGACAGCTGCCTCCCGACCCGCTTCATCCCTAACCTGCAGCGATCTGTGCTTCAGCTCCACTTCCATGGCTGGCAACCATGCTGCTTGGTTGCGAGCTGTGCTTTTTCCCCGGCAGCATTTCCAGACCTTCCAAAGGCTTCCAAAGCCTTCCCCCACCACCTAGATAGGCTTGGTTGGAAAAAGAGTGTAAAAGCCCCAAGTGCCAGCCAAACCTGCCCCAGCTCGCGTGGGCAAAGGAGAGATTAGTCAAATTGTAAATGCAAAAATAAAGGGTGTAAGTTATGGGGTTTCTTAAGTAGGTTTATTTGGAAAAAAAAAAATAGTTCAGTCATTCTCATAGAATTTGAAAAGAGGTTTCGAGTCACTGTCCATTTTCTATATTACTATACCTTACAGTAAAGCTAAACAAGAACAGAGGTGTTTGTTTCTTCCTTTGTGGAAACATAAAATAAAAATATTGATAACATTGTTATCAGAACAATGATTCTCCCTCAATTAGAAAAGAAAACCCAGCCACTCTTATTAATGATGTTAAAG